GTCCTGCAGCTGCTCGATGCTCGTGATGAGCGCGTGCACGCCGTCGTGGATGAGCTCGTTGGGCGGCTCGTAGTGGCCTGAAACACGCGGGCGGTGAGCGGGGCGGGCGGCGGGCGGGGCGGGCGGGGACAGACACGCACGGTCCTGCTGCAGCACGCGGCGCACGATGGCCAGCAGCACGTCCCAGGCGGGCTCGCAGAGCTCGAGCGGCGCGCGCGCGACGACCCCGTGCAGGCTGACCACGACCTCGTACGTCACCACCGGCTGGTCGCCATCCAGCGCCTGCGCACGCAAATACGACTATAGCGATCGCATATTTTAAAAAAACATCTTAAGGGTTTCCCATTCGGGAACGAGTTGTGACATTCCGTTAAAAGTAAACTTGAAGTTGAACTTAATTATTTTCCTACCTCGGTTCATTGTTTGTGTAAATATCTTTGCCATTAGTCCAGCTATGTTGAGTCATAGCCAATTTTTATGTACTAGCTGCTGCCTTCCACTTCATCCGCGTACAATATGCATTTTAGAACATACCTAACTTCTTTGTTATTTTAGTTTACAAAATAAAAATAAAAAAGTAGAGTATTTTATTCCTTCGTACATCAGCTACCTGCCAATAAGTCTTGCAAAATCGGTCCAGCCATTCCAGAGACTACCCAATACAAACAGACAGATAAAAATTGTAAAAATGTTATTTTGGTATGTGTATAGTATGTATATTTATATACATGAAAATGAAGTAGAAAGAATTTTAATTTTACAGACACTCCAATTTTATTTAAACAATCTGCTATGTGGCGGCGATCTACCAGTGGCAACAGACAGAGTTTAGGATAAAACTCGTAAAAAAATCCATTTGTTCTATTTTTTCTATGAATTTGGAATCATTCGGGGATTTATTGTTATGTAAGTAGGTATATTTTATGTATAACAAATAATTAAAAATGCACCTCTGCCTATCACTTATGAGAATATAGAGTATGAGGTATTATTTTGTATGTATGTATGTTTATTAAAATAATAATATTGTTTACTGTTGCATAATGATTGATAAGTATGTAGTTACGTTTTTAGAAATAAGATGTCTTCCTACAAAAGTAATGTATAGAGCTCCTTTTGCCTGCGATACAGGATTGTCCTAGTGCAGGCGTCTAACTTTATGAGATCAATTTTACTTACTTGAAACATATTTTGTATTTTGCATTTTTGAATTATGAATTAAATTTTATTTTATTTTATTTTTTATTACGTCTGACAACACTATCATTGTATATTGTTGACAACAACTAATAAACAAACTAATGATGTAAGATATATAAATAAATATGAGATATATAAATAATTTATAAATAAAAAAAATATATAATTAAGAAAAGAAAATTACGTCAAGCGCGTTCTTCGACAATTTTGTTGGGAATGGTCTGTTCCATAACACGATGTGAAATGATGCTCTAATAACAAATCGGCCTGTACACATACTTCAATTCCAAAACTAAGATTACATAATATTAAAGCTTAAAAAGTACTGGAGCGCATTAAATATTTGTGAATTTGTGTGTTAGATTGCGTATACGGCTATCGTACGGGAGGGACGGCTAATCATTGAAATATTTGACTGGTGCTTTATTTCATATCTCGGCGGCCGACCTTCAGGAGCGCGGGCAGCACGGCGAGGTGGGACACGCGCAGCGTGGGCACGCGGCGCGGGCCCCACAGCGCCATGTTGACGTAGAACACGGCGCCGCGCTGCAGCCCCGCCGCCTCGCCGCGCGCGCGCAGCAGCGCCACCAGCTGCGCCAGCGCCGCGTGCCCCATGTCGGCGCCCAGCACGCTGCGCATGAGCTTCCAGCTGGCCTGGCAGTGCTGCTCCAGGTTCACGGTGCGGCACAGCGCCGCCACGAAGGCGCGGTGCGCGCCGCGCGGCAACGGGCCGGCGGCCACGTGGCGACGGATACGTACTCGACGATCCCGTGTACGATGTGCTCGTCTAAATAAGTGGCGTTGTACTTGACGACGTTAATAATGAGCTGCAGGAACTCCACCAGCTGCGAGGCGGGCTGCACCTGCGGCAGCCACTCCAGCAGAAACGGTCCGATCTGTGGACACGACCACTAAATTACACAAACTATACTACGTACAAGTGCCGACGTGTGCTCGCGACCTCGTCGTGCGAATGTACCAACTGGCAGAGCTACACATGTAGTGTGTCGCGGATAGCTGCTCGTATATATGAGCCTCTAGTAGGGCTTGAAACTGGCCGAGTACCTCGAAAACAGTTAAATGAGTAAATATTATCGCCATATTCACCTCATTGAGCTACAGAAATCATACCTGCAGACCTCTAAGTTGAACCTGACAGAAACAGTTACTGTTGGTTAGCTACTAAGCCATGACATTAGGTTACAAAAAATATAACTTCATAGCAAAACACAATTTATAATAACAATATCCAATGTTCTGTACTTAAGTCATTTACTTACCTCTTCCTCAAAGCAATTAATATTCTTTCCTGTGTTGGTGAGTGTGTGCAGCAATTTGAACCGTAGTTGAGTGTCTTCAGGACTATGGCGAGCATGAGTGTCCCGCAAGTAATGAAACAAGATTGTGCGCATGATCTGCAGGTAGTCTGCCTGCCCCTCTGCCAGACACCGCAGGAACCACAGTGCAGCATGTCGAGCCTCCACATTGCTGTCTTCTAGCAGGTCTCTTGTCAATGACCAAAGCTTTTCAACTCCACCCTTTTGACAATCAAATATTTTTTGTGTCAACGGTCATGGTTGTGCCACTAAACTCTTAGTTAAGTATGTGGATCATAGAAAAGTGACAAATACTTGTGCCATTGAAAGGTAATATATGCATGGACCAGACAGAACCAACTGTATATCTGGCTAAAGATAATAATTATATTATGTTAACTAACCTTATGTGTCTATATAATAATAACATGTTTATTTGGTGTAAACACCCAGATTACAAAACTAAATCTTATTAGGTGCCTTAAGAAAGTCAAAAACCTTATAAAACCTGAACTATATTGTAAGACTACCTTATTAGTGACCTGTAGGGTCATGTGTTTTTCAATTTGGCATCTGCCTATATTATTATTACATGCGTCTGCATCTAGTCCTCGGCAAAACCCAACCTCAAACTACCTACTTATGGTAAGGTTTTTACATTTCTCCGCTTCATATAACATGTACTTAGCTATATCTATTAGTTCTATTGTTCCAATAATCAATAAAGTTAACTGTTCCTAATTATGCCTATGCATAACTTAAATAACCAATGTAAGAAATGACATGATCACAAATTGTTTACCAAGATACAGAATATATCAGATGATATATAGATAAATATTTGTGTCTGTAGGTCGCCGGGACAGTGCAAATTGCTTGTAACCCAGCATAGTAATGTGGCAAAGGTACAAGTTAATAGAGGGTACTACAACAATAAACATTCAGTGTGGGACTCACCTCTTGAACTCGGATGTGGATCGCCTTCTCACCGACCTCCTTGAGCGCGCGCAGCCGTCGGTGCAGTGGCGCGTCTGCACCCAGCTCGCGCTCCAACTCTCCGCTCACCACCAGCTCATTGCGCGGCGGCAGCGGCGCTACACACATCAACAACACACACTCGTCAACACTCGAACCTTGCCAGGTTCGAGTGTCTTTCATTTTGTTACTTTGCCACTAGATCGAACCCAAACACTCACCCGATGCACCTTTTTTGAAGAGCACTTTCAATTTGTCTTGTAGTGATCTATCTCTCGAATTCATTTTACGACGATGCCGGTATCAGTTTTGTTTTTGTTATCTTCTCAAATTTAGGGGTAGGCGTCGCGATTACCTATTAATTAGAGATTGCGAATTAAAACTCATATTTATTAAAATAGTTCTCACTACCGCTCCTGGCTTTGCTATTCTATCCAGATTCACCGTGTTTGACAGCTTCCCAACCAAAGTACTTGTACCTACAGCTGACAGGTAGATGTTCAATGCCATTTCAATGTAAAATCCTGAACGAAAATAATGGTTCGAAAATCGAGAGACTCATCTTGCTTACTAAATTAGTTTCGGTTTTAATCATTAGTCACTTGATATTTTTAAATAAAAAAAAAAATTAAATAAAATATATTATAGTGTTTACTTTGGACAAGTGATACATCCGTAGGCGTGAGTAATTTTTTTTAGTAGCTTTGATTAAATAATGTCTAAATAGAGCGTCACCATAAAATAGCAACAAAAATGATGTTCCATCTACGACAAAAATTCTTCCATTAAATTTATATCTCCCATATTATATTTGGGTTTATACCAGACCATTCAGAATCAAAAATTGTACCTAACCATCTCTTTGAATTTGATTTTAAAGTTCTTTTTATTGGACACTTTGTTGATATTTATATTTTGTCATATAAAGAATTTATTTTCCGTTACAAAAGAATAATTAAATATCATATTAAGACATTTTTTACATTATTTATATAAAACCAAATTTATAAAATATTATTGAAATTGAACCCTTTCCATCAAAAATCGATTTAACTTGGATCGATTCGAACGTGATTCGAATTAAAAAGAAGGATCGAAACCAACCTTTTTTTAAGAGATAGACTAAATAAAGTCAAAGCATTTATTTCAATTAAACCTTATTTTGGTACTTTTGAAACGTCAACAAATACAAAATAATTAATAGTCTGTCAGTCAGTCCAAGCTAGGTGAAGCTTTTTTTTAAGGGGGGAAAATCATCGAATGACTGCTCCCGCCTGGGTGAGGCGGGAGGGAGTGTCAGACTCTTACTGACTAAAAACCATCCCGTTCCTTCTCCTTCACATCGACCCAGAGCCCTGGTTACCCGTTAGGTTCTCCGCGACTCCGAATCGGCATCGGCCCTGTTGGCTCCATCTGTCTCATCGGTGGTCTGATGGCATTTTGAGGCGCGCAGAAACGCCACGCGCCGCACGCTCGTGTCTGTTTCTGGTCGGACGGGGAGCCACCCGTGCTCGCCGTCCGTAGGCCCGCGAAGCTAGGTGAAGCTAGGTGCTCATTCCAAAATGTAGATTCGAATGGAGAAGAACGAGCAAGAAACTCCATTGGTTATGTATTTTTTTTTTAAAAAAAAAGTATGTTCTACAATGTCTCTGATACAAAATGCAAAGACACGCTTGACGCATTATACTAATTACAAAACTTACTAACATAAAAAAATAAAAATCTTATAGCCTAACATGGTGCTCACATATTATGCATACTGACAATACATAAAAATAGTGCTTCTATACAAGAAAAAGGAAAGAAATGCTCGATGCCATAAGGAAACTAGATTATCTACATTAGAATGAAAGTATTAAATTACCTACTATTGGAATCTAACTACTGACTATATTTGAGTATTGTCCAGTTGAGCCGAACCAACATGCCGCCAAGCATTCTTATCTTCAAGATAATCTGTCAGTGTGTAGTAAGCTTGATTACATAATTCGCGCTTAATATATGTTTTAAATTTACTTTCATTGAGATCTAGTATGCTATTTAGTATTTTATTATAGCATTTAATAATTAACCCCATAATGGATTTCTATACCTTGGACAGTCTGAATTGCGGTATAGCTAACTTATTTTTGCCTCTAGTATTAAAATTGTGTCTATCGCTTCTTTTTTCAAACAATTGCCTATTTTTCCTTACATACATCATATTTTCATATACATATTGACAGGGCACCGTTAAAATATTTATCGTTTTAAACAATTCTCTCAGCGATTCGCAACGGCGGCGTAAGTTATATATTGCTCGGATAGCCCGCTTTTGTATAATAAAATATTGATTCTATTTATGCAGCTCGACCCCACAACAAAATGCCGTACGACACAATGCGTGGAAATAACTAAAATAGTCAAGCTTTGCTGTATCTACGTCCGTAAGCTGTCTAATCTGTCTAACTGCAAAAGCTCAATCTCTCCGAGAGCGCCTTTATATGCGGACCCCATTGTAGCCTATTGTATAACGTAATGCCTAAAAATACCGTCTCGTCGACAAATTCTAACTTTCGACCGTTCAAAACAATAACACAATCGTTACTAAGCACGTTTAGTAAACTAAATTTAATACATTTGGTTTTTATCTCATTCAGTGCTAGATTATTAATGGTGAATCAATTATGCACTCGAAGAATGGAGCTGTTTATGTCGTCAAGACTATTTGTACGTCGATCTATTTCAAAACTAATGATGTATCAACTGCAAAAAGCACTATTCCTTGGTTCATTTTTAAATATAAATGGCAAATTATTTATCCTTACTATTATAAATCGGAAAGTGAGTTTGTTTGTTCCGCTTTCACGCCATAACTATTAAACCGATTGCTTTGAATTTTTGAAGATGTATAGTTAGAAGTCCGGATTAAATAATAGGGTACTTTCTATCCCGGAAAAATTTGATATTCCCTAGGGAAAACAAAAGTATTGGCATAGATGGCGCTGTGTGTATTGGTATATGTCACATTGGCTTTTTATCCTTTTGAGACGCGAGCGAAGCCGCGGGTATAAGCTAGTATAGACTAAAAAGAGAAAGGGACCCAATATTAAACCTTGAAGAATGCCCATATTCATCCCAGAGCCCTGTGAGTTCATACCGTTAAAATGAACCTTTAACTGTCTTTATTCTAAATAAGATTTCATGTGACAGAGCGCAGAGTTTCTTATCCCGTACTTAGTTCAAAACTAATTTCAGCAAGTGTCTCGTAGTCAACGCAATCAAATGCTTTTGAGAGGTTACAAAAGACACCAGTAGCATACTGTGCTTCCTCCTAAGCACCAAATGTTTCCCTAATCAAAGTGATACCGGCGTCCGTTGTACAACGACCTTTAGTGAAACGTAGTGTTGTTGATGAAAGTGTAGTTAGTTAGTGAAATAGTACATTAAAGCGGTAAAATATGGCGGCAATTAGTTAGGGCAATGATATAAATTGAATAATGTAATTTTTAATTAATTAGCGATGTAAGTGATCTGTTTAGTACTTTTTAAACGTCATATAAGCTTTTGGCACAATTTCATGGAGCAAGTGGCCATCTTTGCAGTTTTTTGTAGCGTGTATACACGTAGTGACGCCTAGGTGACACAATTGGTACTACTTGACGGGAAAATGCTTTGCAGTGAACAGTTCACTGCAAACTTTTGATCTGCTTCTTGTGAACTGACACTCCATCTGGACATTTTCCGTCTTATTACAAAAGTTCGACTTAGTACTGGTTTAAACCCGGACTATAAGATCTAGGCTTGTTACGGTATTAAAGCTAGTACCAGGACTAAAATTCGGGGATCAGCTAGTACCAAAGAAAGTCCATGGTCCCACAGATAAAAAACATAAATAGTATTCGCTACGCTTTTATTACCAAATTTTTTGTATTTCTTGGACCACTCCTATACAATAGACTAAATGCAACGTTTTGGATTTACCCCCATAGCATCCGTAACTGTAAGAAAATTCTAAAGGAAGCCCTTCAAGACATGTCCTATGAAGACACAGAGAAGTTATTATTAGTTCCTAAATAATAGGTACTTAAAGTAAGCTCCTAATCTCTTATTTATATACTACATACATACTCTTATATACATATTAAGCATAGAATTTAAGTATTACTCTATATCAGTATGCATAAATATAATTAAATATTGTCATAATTTACCCTAACTTATTAGCATTTAAGTAATAGTGATTATATAACAATGTTTACTACTATTACCTAACCTCGCCTGAAACACAGGACTTACTAGTTCAGGCACCTTATATTGTGAACTTTATTTAGCTTTAAGCAAAACTGTACATTTCTAGACTATTATGTTTGAAAATAAAATTATATTATTTTTATTCTTTCATTCGTTCACTCAGGATCCACTTGAAAAACGTTCCGTTCGTCTAAATATTGTTATTACAATAACGCCTGAAATGCTTAAATAATTATGTATCAACACAAAATTATATCATAAATTGTTTTTTGTTTGTGTTACAATATAGTGAACAAGCACAACTTGTATTTTGACGAGCTTTTTATAACCAAGTTTTCATATTTTTTAACACCTCTAGCGTGAAATGGAGCGACTTATAAGAAGGCGGCAGAGCACGAAACACGAAACAAATATTGAGTCTTTTTTATTATATAAATATTATTGTTTATTGTGACTGACTGGAAATGGAACAACAACTGTACTTATATCGAAAGTCTTCGTCACTCAAGTCAAAGGGATATTTACACGATGGCGATGTCTGTACGATCGCCGAGACGTCTCTAACATGTCCAAAACTTCCCAATCTTTTAAATCCATAACATCAATCGGTTCAATATCCATTTTACAATTATAATAATATAGAAGATACACGTAAATATTTCTGATAGCTAACCTCAAATAACTTTAGTAGGTACCTACCGAAGTTAAACTAGGGGTCTCGCTCGGCGGTTTAACTTTAGTACCATAGATAGTTCCGGAACTAGTGATAAACTTTTATAATAACATTTTATTTAGTCATGGTTTAAACCTAGTATTAATCCTGGTACTAATAAAAAATCATTCTATAAAAATAGATCGGATTTTGTAATAAGACGGTATATAATCAAAGAGGGGAATCTGGGGACACCTTTCGACAATAGTAATTTTTTTTACAGCGCGGGGATTCGAGTCTTTTGTATATATCAATGACATGTAGATATAGATCTATGATCAATGTGCAAAAAGTTTGGAAATGATTTTTTGCAGTTCATTAGTTAAATAATCTAAGAATCGGGAAAATACTTATACTCTTTGGGGACAACCATGACAACCATGGGACAACCTGTATATCGTCAAAATAGTGAAAAATAGATACTTACCTACATATTTTGACCAAAGTTTAGGAAGTTGTCACATTTTTGAAATGAATCTAAAAGTACTTATATATAAGGCGAGAGTTAGAGGAGTCCCGGTGTATTGTTGTTTCTTGTTACTGTTATATGTGTTGTAC